TTCCTCCAACTCAACCTCACTGCCAAAATTCTGTCTGTAGAACACTTCTACTTTGTCAACCATGTCCAGTCTAAACCATTTTTCTCCCCAGGATATCATAATCCTTTCTGGAGTCAACCACCGGAAATTTATGTTTTTTCTTGTTAGTTTAGATGTTAGCGTTTGGTAGGGTCGTCTTAATTCTCTTACCCTTCTAGGGACTTGTTTGAGCACCACCAGCTGTCTTCCTCTAAGCTCTAATGGGTCTTCTCTGGTCCTATGCAGGATTTCATCATGAATCGATTTTTTAACAAATCTAATATGCACTTCTTTAGGTAGATTATTCCTATGCACATAATTAGTATGGATCGTATAGATTTCATCCATTTCATTAATCATTTCCTCTTTCCCGATTCCTAGTGCTCCTGCCAATAGGTCCACCATCATCTCTGGGAGGTCCTCATTCTTTTCTTCCCTCACATTCTGAAACCGTAAGTAGTGGGCTGCCTTTTCTGTCTCTAAGTGGATGACCAACATTTTGAGATCTTTCGGGAGTCCTTCGGGAGTAGGGCGGTATACAAATCAAATAAAACCTAAAACCTAAAACCTTTATTAGCTTGTATTAATCTTTCTTCCTTCTCCTCCACTCTTTTTTCTTCCCTTCCCATTCTCTCCTCCATCTCCTGCAATTTTTGCTCATTTTTCATAATTTGTTGTTGGAAGTATTCAAATTTATCTTCCATTGATCTCATCTTTTCTTTCAGTTCTCCCATGTCACTCCTTATTCTCCTATCTCTCATTTCAAATCCTCATGGTTTTTCAGCATAACATCCTGCATTGTTTGTAACATCTGTTGTAGATCTTTGAATAAATTTGATCTTTCCCTTTGCATTATTTCTTCAATAGACCTTTGCCCCGCTGGACTCAGTTCCACTGTCGTGGTTTGGGTCCTCTGCCTCTTTCCTGTGCCAATTTTTGTCAGATTAGGAATGCTTGTCATCCTTGCCACCACTTTAAGACAACTTCCCCACTTCCTTATAGTCCTCTTATATTTCTCCAGGACACCCAAGCTGTTACTATTTCAACTATTCAATTTTCAGTGCTTAAATATACATCTTCTGCTCGATATCATATATTTTTAGGTGTCTTTTAGTTTTGGCATCTTTATATCAATCTATCCTTCCAGAATATCAATCTAAAACATTTAACAATATCAACAATTAATTAGTGACAATATATATAATTAAATCCCTTATAATGTTAATGATATCAGTAATTAATGCAATAGATAGTCAAGGATGACAATCAAAATAAGAGCCTTGGTAGTACAGTGGACTAAAGCACTGTTATTAACATCTGCTGCTTGCAATTACTGCAAGTTCAAATCTCACCAGGCTCAAGGTTGACTCAGCCTTCCATCCTTTCAAAGGTAGGTAAAATGAGGACCCAGATTGTGGGGGGCAATAAACTGACTATGTATAAATATACAAAAGTATGAAGGCTATTGCTTAACGCATTGTAAGCCACCCTGAGTCTTTGGATAAAGGCGGCATATAAATTAAAGCAAAAAAAAAAAATAGTAGGAAGAGGAAAAAAAATAGTAATCATAAAGATAGTTTCTTCTTAAGGGTGTGCCATGTCAACACCACAATATAATACAGTTAATTTTCTTTATTTCTATATGAGCACTATTTCACAAGTTTCATCACACCCAAAATCATACACAGATTCTCCACAATTTATAAATTGGTTGGCAGCAAGCTCACAAAAGTATTCTTGTATTCCTTTGAATTGGCTTTCCTTCTGTAAATTATCTCCGGTTTTCCTTTGGCCAGTAGGTGTCTTCCTTACTCCCTGTTATAATACTCAGCAATCAGTCTCTCTTCAGAATGTCTGTAACCTCTGATTATTTAGCACTTTTGCTCTCACACTTTAAATTGTCTGTTTCCTTGATGTCAAATTGTCAATGGTATCAAGATTCCCCCTTGGCTCTTTTCCCTCAATTTGCCAATGTTATCTTTTGCTTTAAAATGATCTCATTTGAGCCCAAATTTGCCGTTTGCCACTATATTTTGGAGACTTCCTCCTTCCCAGGGCCTTCTTCTTCCACTTCCCTCTTTAAAAATCCTCCAGGAAGGTCTTTCACCCTGGATCACTTGCAAGAGGCTGCCAAGGTCACTTTACTCCAGATCTATCTCTCTGTTGTCCGGCTATTCCACCACTATTGTTGTCCAGCTATCTTCTTTTTTTTTTTTAATTTGATTTATATGCCGCCCTTCTCCGGAGACTCAGGGCGGCTTACAGTGCATTCAGCAATAGCCTTCATACTTTTGTATATTTATACAAAGTCAGCTTATTGCCCCCACAAACTGGGTCCTCATTTAACCTACCTTAGAAAGGATGGAAGGCTGAGTCAACCTTGAGCCTTGGAGAGATTCGAACCAGCAGTAAATTGCAGGCAGCTGTGTTAATAACAGGGTGCTTTAAACCACTGTAGTACCAAGGCTCTAAATCTGCTGTCATTTCTTCGCAGCCACCATTATGGGCCGACTTCTTTCCCTGATCAGCTTCTCCGAGGCTTTCCTGCCTTCAGCTAACTCAATCGCCGTCAAGAGCTACACAGCAGGGCACCCCTTTCTTCCAATCCCCCTCCAAGGGATCTGGGACTCCAAAAAGTCCACCAATCGATTGAAATTTGCTGTGAAAGCGACTCTCTATATTAGAGCTCTGTTTTACACAGCTTTCCCCCTTGACAGCTGGCTCCGCCCCCTGCCCCCCCCCCCATTTGCCTTTTTTCCATGAACATCCTGCTGATTCATATTCTGTTTCCAGTTAACTACAATTTTGAGATCATTTTCACAAACATACATATCAAGTTTGGTATCCCCCATCTTTCTTCCAGTCCATCATTTATGTTCTTATATGAGACTCTATTGTTAGTCAAGTCCTAGTTGCTAAAAATCAGATATTTTTCTACCGCTTTTTACTCATGCACCTTTCTCTGTGTGCTAATCATAAATATTGTTTCTGGAAACTTGAACTCGTCTTATTAAATTTTATTTTATTCAAAAAGGTAAACTACAAGTTTTGGAAAATAAAACTATTACAAAGTCAAAACAAAACTAGACAAAACATTTTTAAAAAATTGTGAATTAAAAACAGATTTAAAAATGCATATTGTCCCCCCCAGTTGAATACAATACAGCAATAATAGTTTCTCCCCCTTGCAAAATAGGCCCACAATTATAAACTACACATCTATTTGCAATGACTTGATTTGTCATCTATCTGCTGTATATTAAAACGTAGTTAACAGGCAATCCAACTATAAGGTTAAATTTCAAAACTTCAAAATTGTCTGTTATCTGCCATTGTATTAACTCACAGAAAATTTGCAGGGGCTTCTTATTTACCACAGACCACCACAATCATTACCTTTGATCTATCCAGAATCTGTCCAGGGTTAAACAACTTTGTCTGAGTCTTAATAATAATAAAATTCCTTAAAATTTTAATTAGGATCTTTCCCAACAACTGCTTCCCATTCCCCAAAGTCACAGGACCTTCTGTAAGTTGAAACACAATGACTCTTAAGACTTGTTAAATATGACAAGTCCATTCCCCAATCTCCCTCAATCTTCTTGAAAGAATCCATTTCATCAGTCATCCGTTCTGTCCACTTTGAGTCTTCAGGGTCCATGGCCTCTCCAGCCATCTCCAAGCCGCCTACCTTCAAACCAGACTCTTTCCTTCAGGGATGCCAGAAGCAAATTCAGTTCCAGTCCATCCAACCATCCAATCCATCCGATTCAACAATTGTTGCTTGCTTCTGATTATCGCCTTTAAGTTGATTTAAAAGCATTATTATTTTACCAAACTTTTAAAATGAAGTTTAAAATAAGGTTTGTAAGTTGAAAGACTTTATATTCATTAAATCATATCAAATTAGCTTATTCTAAGATCATATTAATTACCATATTAATGACAACATAGAAAAATTGATGAGCAATGGCAAATTGTTATCCATCACCTTCAAGTTTCATAGGAAAGATTAAAACAGATTAAAAATTGTTTGAGTATATGTTGAAGTCAGTTTTTATCCACTTAGTTATCATACCATCCACCCCTCAGGTTTCTAATCACATCACAAAATTGTTTGTGAGTCCTTTACTGAAATCCAGTTCTATCACCAGAGTTCCCATAATCTATTTAGGAAGTGTAATGATGTGTGAGAATGACTTTTGGGGTGAGGAGAAGAGAGGCTGCCCAGGGAAGGATCAGATAAGAGGGGAGAATCCTGCAGCTGCATAATGGGAGAGAAAGAAACTCAGAAAGGGTCCTAGCTAACTTTTTAGGCTGAGAAAAGAGTTGGTGGGAGATTTGTTCTGAAAAAAATTGTTAATGTTGCACTACAACCAAGTAGAATTGGCACATCTGGGTGCGTTTTCCATCAGGATGACCAGGGAGAAGATTAGCCTGACATCTTTCTTCTTGATCAACCCATGCTTTCTGGGAATCAACCTCTTGTTTTCAAAGAGTTTATGAATCATCTTTTTTTCTGTTCATTTTATTTGTCATCTGCTCTAGAATGTTCCCTATAATTGACCAATTGTGTCAATTATATTTTCTCTACACTTTGTCAGTATATGATTGACAAATTTTTTCTCAAACTTTTTCATTCACTTATGAAAATAATGGCAGCATTTGTATCCTTTCTAACCATATTTGGAGATTAGACAATTTGTAGAAGAAAGATTCAATGTGGGAAAAGAAACAAGAAAGATTCAATGTGGGAAAAGAAACAAAATTTTCTGTTTTTCAAATTCCTGAATGTTCTCATTCTAGTTTCATCCCTTTCTGAAGAAGAATGAATTTCTCAATATTTCTAACAGAAAACTGTACTTGGACCAAAATGGAGAGTTAACAGCAGATCTGGGCATTTTCTGCTGCTTGGTTCTCCCCAAGGAGGGTGCCATGGAAGAGATTCTGGTGTATTTTGAAAGACAGAGACTTATTATCAACCAAGATGTTCTTTCATGGCTAAAGTTGCTCAATAAGGTGGGAGAAATTTTGGTGTCTTTCCTCTGTTTTTCAAAGCCTGAGGTCTGATTTCAAGTGGGCAAATGTCACGTAAAATGTCTAACTCACTTGTATCCCAATTCCTCATGGCCCTGCAAGGGTTCAGGCAAAGCCTACAGTCTCCAGGGTGATTGGCCTTCCACGCCCGTTGGTGACATCTAATGGAAGTTTCAATTTCAATAAGAGTCAATTTCATGGTTGACTCAGCCTTCCATCCTTCCGAGGTAGGTAAATTGAGGACCCGGATTGTGGGGGCAATAAGCTGACTTCATAGAAACACCGCTTATGGGGGGGGCAAAAGCCCTAATAAGCAGGTATATACAAAAGAATGAAGGCTATTGCTATAAGTGCATTGTAAGCCACCCTGAGTCTTCGGAGGAGGGCGGCATATAAATTGAACTAATAAATTGAACTAATAAATAAAATTGAACTAATAAATTATTCAACAGATGGGACCTAAGTGGAGTGGTTTTGCCATGTTTTATGGAAACCTTTCAAGATCTTACTGGTCAGAGGTTTCTTTCTTCATCATAGTTTATTCTACATTAAAAAATTGAATGGAATAAAAGTTTCCTAAAAGTTTTACAGTAAACTTTATTCTCAATTTTAATATGAATATATAATCATACTTAAATCTTTTTTCAATTCCATCCCTCCAGACGTTATTAAGTAGAAAAGTACTTTATTGTAATTTTAAATTCCAAAAGAAAAGGGAGAAACTAAATGAAGAAGCTGCCAATTGTTTTACCTCCTGCATCTGTTTAGAAGTAGTTAGAGGTTTCATATTTATCTCAGTGAAGACCAGAGGCTACTTGTCTAATGTCCATTTCTCCTCCCATTTTCCATGGATGGAGAGTCCTAACACCTTTTCTTTGGCATTCCTTTTTTTCTGCTCAGTCTCTGCCTCAGTCCAAATGTGTGGAAAGTTGCCATCCTGGATTTGTCAAGAGGGCTCGAGAAGGAGAGCCAGTTTGCTGCTATGACTGCGTTCCTTGTCCAGAGGGGACCTTCTCCACTCAGGAAGGTGGGTCACACTGAGGAAAATGGGAGGCCTTGCAGGAAGTGGATCCATCCAGAACATTTTCATGAAAGTGCAAGTTAAAAGACAGATTGAAGCTCATCTGGTGTTTTATTTTTAACCTGCACAATTTCTTATCTAAAAGGAAGTAAATCAAAAAGACTTTGAAAGAGGGGCTTGGAAGAGATGGGAGTAGGGGGTGGCAGACTGGGCAAGCTTTACTAACAGCAGAGGAAATATCTCTTCTGCTTTTTAGTTTGGATGTGTGCTGCTAGGTTTATTTTTCTAGGAACATCTGAGTTCTTTGAAACTTGATGAATTGTTTTCTTCTGAAAGACCTTGCAATCCACTGTATATTAGCCTCCCCTTGTGGATCACTGAGAAGGTGTCACTGGTCCATAATGTGGTGCTGTGGATAGTTATGGGGGGAACTCATTACACAAATAGTCTGCCAGTCAGGTAGCTCAATCAATCAAAATACAGCTGGAAGGAACCTTAGAGGTCTTTTAGTCCTACCCCTTGCTCAAGCAGGAAACCTTATGCCATTTCAAAGGAGTGACTGTTTAATGAAATTGTTAAGAAATACTTCTTGGTAAATGCCTGTGGTATCATCTGTTATCCAAAGAAGGTATTTCTTGTAAGATAAAAGAATATTAAAGAAATGTTGCTTTTTTTGCTTTCTCAGATACTGAAAAATGCACCAAGTGTCCGGATGATAAATACCCAAATGAGGCCAGAGTCCAATGTATCCCCAAAATTATAACCTACCTGTCTTATGAAGAACATCTGGGCATCATCCTGGTCTCTTTTGCCCTTCTCTTGTTCCTAAACTCAGGGCTTGTTTTAATCATCTTTATTAGATATCGAGAAACTCCCCTTGTCAGAGCCAACAACCGGGACCTCTCCTACATCCTCCTGGTCTCCCTCCTGCTTTGCTTCTTGTCTCCTTCTCTCTTCATTGGTCAACCAAGGAAAGCCACCTGCCTTCTCCGACAAATGGTCTTCAGCATCATCTTCTCAGTGGCCATTTCTTCTCTCTTGGCCAAAACCATCATGGTGGTGCTGGCTTTCCTGGCCACAAAACCAGGAAACCGAGTGAAGAGATGGTTGGGGAAGAGTTTTGCCAACTTCATCATCCTTTCTTCTTCTGCTGTCCAAGTTATCATCTGCTCCATCTGGCTGGGACTTTCTCCCCCCTTCCCTGACTCTGACCTCCACTCCCAGCCTGGAGAAATCATCTTGCATTGCAACGAAGGGGCCGTTGTCATGTTCTACGTCACCCTCAGCTACATGGGCTTCCTGGCTGCCATCTGCTTCACGGTGGCTTTCCTGGCCAGGAATCTGCCTGGGGCCTTCAACGAAGCCAAGCTGATCACCTTCAGCATGCTGGTCTTCTGCAGTGTCTGGGTGACTTTTGTGCCCACCTACCTGAGCACCAAAGGGAAATCCATGGTGGCTGTGCAGGTCTTCTCCATCCTGGCCTCCAGTGCTGGTCTGCTGGGCTGCATCTTCATCCCCAAGTGCTACATTATCCTTCTGAGGCCAGACCTCAACACAAAGGAGCAGCTTACTGCCAGGATACATTTAAAAACATAGTCATAACACCATGATTTTGAAAGAATTCTAAAACTTTCTTTTATTTGCAAGAAGATATCATTTCCACTTAGATAGTATGCAGGAATAAAAGAAAATGATATGTTTACCTTTCATAATGGGAGATGGTTTATTGACTGTAATTCTTGTAACTCTCTTCCCTCTCATTTCAATAAATCTTGCTAAAGAGAACTGTGAAAGTCATTCAGAGGGATTTGCTTTTCAGCAAATGCCAATGAACATGATACATTTTAAGAAATTATTTGAGCAATTATTCATACTGATTGTAGCTAAAAGGGTATGTGTGTGAGAGAGTGAGTAGGAAAAGAGGTAAGGTACCCCAGATTATTCTGACACTATCCCAGACAGACCCAGTCCGTGACTTGGGGTTTTTCCTGGACTCACTACTCCTGCTAAAAGAGCAGGTAGCAGTTGTGGCTAGGGAAGCCTTTGCACAACTGGTGTGCAGTTGCAGCCTTTCCTGGATCAGGAGTCCCTGTGCTCTGTTGTTCAAGCCGTGATTATCATGTTTAGACTATTGCAATACACTCCACATGGGGCTATCCTTGAAGATATCCTTATATGTTATGATTTTAAGGTTTTATGCTGTAAGCTGCCCAGAGTCATTTTGTTAGGAGATGGGGGGGGGGCAAGTAAAACAGACAAACAAACAAACAAACAAACACAGCTGTGGGAACCAAGCTCCAACTATGTTACCATGTTTTTCCCCAAAATTAGACCGAACTGGAAAATAAGCCATAGAATTATTTTTCAGGATGCTCATAATATAAACTCTATCCCCAAAATAAGATCCAGTTAAGATCGTCAGCCAGACAGATGCATTTAGTACCATACGTTTCATGTGGAGTAAGTAAAAAATATCAGAAGCCATCACTGTGGGCATGGCTTATTTGTGGGTGTGGCTTGGTCATGTGACTGGGTGGGTGTGGCCAACTCAATGTCACTCACATCAAGCGGTGCCTCGCCTGGCCCCTCCCCTCCCAGCCATTCCTTGTCACACACAGCTTCAACGTATCTCTAGTTCTGTAAAAATGTTGTTCACCTTTTTTCAACTTTATTATCTACGTACTATAGATGCACTTTCATGGATCACTGAAAGGAAGAAATGGCTCCCATGCTTTTCCCAAGAGTATGATAGGCAACAGGCTTTTAAGGGGCTGCCAGAAAGAGGGGGGGCAATGTATTTTTCACAGCACTAGAAGGCAAAACAAGAAACAATGGATGGAAACTGAACAAAGAGAGAAGTTAATTTTTCTCCTAAAACTAAGGAGAAACTTCCTGACAGTGAGAACCAATATAGGTGCAGAAATATTTCAGTCATAATTCCACATATAAAATAGCCATTCGTGCATATTGTTCAAAACAGTAATTAGTAATATGGCTGATGTTTGACAGCAAGCTCAAAAGGCAAAGATCACAAGAGTGCTTCTTTCTCTGTATGTATACAAAACATCACATACCAGGAATAGCATATTAAGATGGACTTATGCAAGCTGTTGTACGAAATAAACACACACATATTTATGCTCTGGACTATAGACATTGAATGCATGTAAATCCCTGAAAAATATGTGGTAGCCCTGGGCAAAAGAAAAGCAGTAAAATCACTCTAGGTGTAGGGACAGTGTAAAATATTAACACATGATAAATAATGGAACACTTAAAAATAATATCACAGAGGTTTCTCTCTCTCTCTCTCTCTCTCTCTCCCCTTCCTTCCTCTTTCTTTCTCTATTTCTCTCTCTTTCTCTGTCTTTTTGGGGGAGGGTGTTTGTGGCTATGACAACTACTTTCAAAATTGTTACTGGATATTTCCTGTTATATGAAACTGCTAAAAGGCTTTTGCAGTCATATAATGCAACAAAACATTTTTTAATGGTAAAAGTAAACTGACATATGAAGCTATTTCTAAATAACTATGTAAGAGAGAATAAATCTTTTTCTGAAAATTACTAGTGCAAATACACAAAATTAGAGCTCTAATGTGTGGTAATATTATTTATAATAGAATTTGGGTGGAGGAAATAGAGTAGCAAGGAGATTGACAATTGAGAACTCCATGAAAGGAACACGAATGTAATAAAGTCACTGTATATGAGTTGGGTAGCTATATAAATTTGTTTAATAAATACAATGGGAAAGGTCTTTGGGGATTCCAGAATTTACATGGCACTAATTGGATTTTTGATCTCCCTTTTATTTTGAGACATAATAGACTAGTTTTACACTATAACTAAATTACACAAGAGAATGTAGTATATATACCAAAAATAATTCAATAACAATTTAATCTGATACATTGGGTTAAGTGATGTAAGGCTTGATCTAATTTCAGGCAAGTTCAAGCCTCTGTTAAGAGATACCTGTGTTCTCTCTCTCTCTCTCCCCCTTCCTTTTTCTTTTTCTTTCTCTTTCTTTCTTTGTCTCTTTCTTTCTTCTCTCTCTCTCTCTCTCTCTCTCTCTTTCTTTCTCCCTCCCTTTTTCCTTTCTGTGAAGAACCCCAGAAGGTCTTTGGTAGGAGGAAGAAAAGCCAGACATTTTGAAACTCAGAACATGCCTGTCAGCATCAGTTTTCCTGCTTTAGCTGCCATAAGAAACGGGGAGGGATTAGGTATGGAGCAAAGGGGGGGAAGAGAGCAGGAGGGGGTTTGTCTTTGTAGGAGGGGACTTCGTGGGAATCGAAACTGGATTTCAGAAGGGGATGGCCGACCAACTGTCTCGACATTCCTGATGGATGACGCTGCCAGATGTGTTGCCACCTGACCTTTGGAAGACCTTTAGATTGGCTGAGAAACTATAAACACGAGGGGGGGAAGAAGCTTAGTAGATGCATTTCGCGCGTTTTGATCATTTCCAGCTTTTCACTGGGATGTTAATCTTTTCATATTCAGTAAAAGTACCAGATTCTTCAAAATGCTTGAGTTTGGGGTTTTCTTTCCTGGATACTGAAGGAAGCATACCTGACATTAAGCTGGAAGTCATCTCAGTCATCCCGGACAAAACCCGAGGGGACTGAAAATCCAAAGTATGTCAGATCGAGGGAGTGATGACGAAGGGAAGATGGGGGCAGCAAGTTCAACCGCCCTCCAGTCAGAAAGAGAAACTGCAGAATGGCTGGAAAAACTCCGTTTGGAACCGGAGGAAGCTAGATGGTCCAAAGGTGTGGGCAGACTGCCGGACTGGGGGGAGAATCCCCGGGGAGTGACGACTTCCAGACCCCGAAAAAGGGAGGCAGTGTGGATGCAACAGCAGAAGGAACGTCTCATGATAGATCAAGCCTTGCAGCTTATCCGTGATGTGGAAGAAAGCAGAAAAAACTGTGAGTCTTTTGAAACTCCTGTGGAGAAGGGGGAAGCAGACCCCAGGGGGGAGGCAGAAGAGACAGCCTGCGGGGGAGAGGAAGAGTTTGAGGAGGGAACATCCCAGGCTTCGGCAGCTCGAGGAAGAGATGCAGCTGGCCAGAGAACCCCAGCCCTGCAGGCCCCCCCCCGCAGACGTAAAAAGCCAAAAATCCCCCCCCTTCCTGGAAAGTTTGATGGAAATCCTAAAACCTTGGGATTTTTCCTGACCCAAGTGTGGAACCACATGCAGGATTGGGGGGAGGACTACGAAACAGATGCGGCTAAAGTCAGAAGCGTTGCGAATGCCCTAGAGGGAGTGGCGGCTGAGTGGATGGTAGTTCTCCACAATAACAACTCCCTCCTGCTGAGAAATTACAACCAGTTCATGAGGGCCCTTAGAAGACGTTTTGAAGACCATTTAGCTGAACGAAAGGCGAGACTCAGAATGAAGAGCATTCAGCAGGGCCGGAGGCTGGTGGCAGAGTATATCCAAGAGTTTCGTGAACTGGCACCTTATATGACAGGCTGGTCAGAAATGGCGCTTTTGGAGAGTTTCAAGGATGGATTGAATGATGAGATATATCGAGATTGCAGGAGCATGGGGGTCCCCGATGATTTGGATAGATGGTACATGGTAGCTGAGGATGTGGAGATCGAGCTGAAACGGAGCGAACTCCGAGGAAGGCGGATGGGGGACCAGTCATCCTCTCTCTACCGTAAGGGGGCGGCCAAGATGACTGGCGGGAAGACCGAATTCAAACCCAAGTCAAAGCCCTTCACCTGTTTCAAATGTGGGAAGGAGGGTCACCGGGCGGCCGAATGTTTCTCCAAACCACCGCCAAAAGCCACCGGGGCCAGCCAAAAGAAAAGCGATAAAATACCCGCCAAAACCCGCGGCACCGCCCTGAAAGGAGAAGTCGTTGAGTTCACTCCCCGGAACCAGCGTGAGTTGGGAACTCCGACCAACGATGACGACAGCGAGACAGACTCCGACTCGGACACCGATGAACGGGTGAGTCACACGGAAGAACCCTTACTCATCCCCGTAGAAGTAAGGGTGCCCTCCACAGGAACTCACGCGCAATTGTTAGCCCTGTTGGACTCGGGGTGCACTAGGTGCATAATTAGCCCCAAAGTAGTGGAGGAAATGGGACTGAGACTGAAAACTTTAAAAAGACCCATTGCATTTTGTCAATTAGATGGGTCGATTGCAGGGGGGGGCAGCTAGTTTTATGACCGAACCCCTCGAACTACAGTTGGGGAATCATATAGAAAAGCTCAGCTTTATTGTAGCCCCTGGCATGGAAAGGCCCCTAATTCTAGGACTGCCCTGGCTTCGTAAATGGAACCCACGAGTAAATTGGAAAACGGGGGTCCTGCGCATCCGTACGGCAGAACCACCTCTGGAAAAGGAAGGCCCCTCCCTAAGGGACGACATAAGACCAGAAGGGGCCGCAGTAGCCATTAACTATATTGAGGGAGAAGAGAAAATTCCGAAGGAATATTGGGACCTCAAGGAAGTGTTTAGTGAAAAAGCTTCTGATAATCTGCCTCCCCACAGGGCCACTGACTGCACCATTGAAATACTCCCAGGGGTGAAGCTTCCCAAACCAAAAATATACCCCATGACACCTCGAGAAT